TTCGCACTGGTCGTAGGGTTCCTCGTCCGCGTCCTCCTGTCCCCGGCACCCACGCTATGGCACTTCGTCCTTCCTCTGTTCCACTGCGTGTTCCTCTGCCGCCTCCTCCTGATTCCTCTCTTCCTGCCGTCCCTGACCCTGAGTCTGACCTAGCTCATGCTTCCAGTCCCACTATCTCTCGTCTACTCGCCACTGTTGTCACGGACCCTTCTTTTGAGTCCACTGCTGCGTCTGCCCTCGTTGCTGAGCTGGTTGACTTTGCTGCTACCTGTCGTCTAGACTACGCCACTGCTCTTGTTGCTTAGTCTGAGTCTGCCAGTCCTCCGTCCGTCGGGGGTGAGTGTGCTCTTGGCACGGACGTCCTGGAGGACAGGCAGGAGGACTTTGAGTGTCTTGCAGCTGCTGTACCTCGTTTCGCTTCCATGCTGCTTGCCCCTGAGGGAGACCCGGATGCACCAGACATCCCGACCCCGCGCTCTTACGCAGAGGCGATTACGGGTCCTTACTCCTCTTAGTGGCAGGCAGCCACGGATGCCGAGATGGCATCTTGGAAGTCCACAGGCACCTACGTCGACGCAGTTCCCCCGTCTCGGGCGAACGTAGTCGATGGCATGTGGATTTTCAGGGTGAAGCGGCCGCCGGGTTCTCCGCTTGCCTTCAAGGCGCGTTACGTTGCTCGAGGCTTCAGTCAGGGACAGGGGGTCGACTACTTCCAGACCTTCTCCCCCACCCCGAAGATGACTACTCTTTGGGTGTAACTGCACGTGGCTGCTCAGCGTGACTACGAGTTGCACTCTCTGGACTTCAGCACAACTTTCCTGCAGGGCAACCTGCACGAGGAGATCTGGCTGCGCCGCCCACCTGGCTTCACTGGGTCGCTTCCTGCAGGTACCCAGTGGAGCCTCCGGCGGCCAGTCTACGATCTCTGCCAGGTGCCTCGCGAGTGGCACGACACACTGAGGACTACACTTGCGGCTCTTGGGTTTACTCCTTCTAGTGCTGACCCGTCGCTGTTTCTACGCACCGACACGTCGCTGCCGCCATTCTACATCCTAGTGTATGTCGACGACCAGGTCTTTGCCACTGCTGACACTGAGGCATTGACCCTTGTGAAGTCGGAGCTGCAGAAGAGACACACCTTCACTGACCTGGGTGAATTGCGCAGCTATCTTGGCTTGCAGATCACTCGGGACAGAGCACGGCACACCATCACCCTGACTAAGTCACACATGGTGCACCAGGTCCTTCGGCATTTCGGCTTCCAGTTCTCCTCTCCACAGCCCACTCCTATGTCTACAGCCACTCGCTCTCAGCTCCACCTTCGGACGAGTGCGTAGAGCCAAGTGGTCCGTTCCCAGAGCTTGTGGGTTGCCTCATGTATCTGATGACGTGCATACGACCTGACCTTGCGTATCCTCTCAGCCTCCTGGCTCGCTACGTGGCTCCCGGTAGGCACCGAAAGGTGCACTGGGATGCTGCGAAGAGGGTACTGCGTTACTTGTGCAGTTCGTCAGGCATGGGGCTCGTGCTTGGAGGACGGGGTCCATTTGTCCTCACTGGTCACGCTTCTTGGGTTGACGACTCAGCTACGCAGCGGTCATCACAAGGTTACACCTTCAGCCTCGGTTCCGGCTCCGTTTCTTGGCAGTCTACCCGCTCGTCTTCGGTTCTCAGCTCCAGTTGTGAGGCTGAGATCTACGTAGGGGCCATGGCTGCACAGGAGCTACGCTGGCTCACCTACCTGCTGACTGACTTGGGAGAGCAACCTCGTTCGCCTCTAGTTCTGTATGTAGACAAAAGGCCATGATTGCCTTGTGTCAAGAGCATGGACTAGAGCACAGAACAAAGCACATCGCTCTGCGATACTTCCTTGCTCGAGAGTTGCAGTAGCGTGGCCAGCTTCGTCTTGTGTACGTGGCCACTAGGGCCAACACTGCTGATATATTCACCAAGGTGTCAGAATGTCATTGTTCTCTAGCCTGCAGTGGGGTACTCTATAGCGAGTACAACCCCTTAGGGTTTCCTATATGTATCCTGCTGCTTTCTAGTGAACCCCCTTCTTCTTCATTCTAAACTTCTCTACCTCCTAATGTTTTCATGCTATCAGAGCAGGTCGATCCCCTTGGGTCGATCCTGTGGGTGGGCTCACCACCTCACTGCTTCCGCTGCTACTGCTACTCTCTGTGTCGCACGCCCCGTGGCGTGCGACGGATTTTTCATCCCGCCGCGCGCTCGGAGTGTGCGGCGGTTTTCTGCCCGCCGTGCGCCCCGAGGCGCGCGGCGGTTTTCTGCCCGCCGTGCGCCCCGAGGCGCGCGGCGGTTGTCTGCCCGCCGTGCGCCCCGAGGCCCGCGGCGGGTTTCTGCCCCGTCACTCCGCGCGTCGCTCCCGGGAGGCGCTGCGACGGGCGACGGGGACCCGCGCGTCGCCCCCCGTCGCCCGTCGTGGCCTGCGCGCGGCTCGTACAGCCTGCGCGCGGCCCGTACGGGCTGCGCCAGGCCCGCGCGCGGCCCGTACGGGCTGCGCCAGGCCCGCGCGCGGCCCGTACGGGCTGCGCCAGGCCCGCGCGCGGCTCGGGCCGCCTGCGCGCGGTTCGGGCGGCTGTGCCAGGCCCGTGGGCGGCCCGTTCTTCGCTGCCCCTGCGCTGCCCGCTGTCCCCCGTGCTTCTGATGGCGCCCCACCCCTGCTGCTGCCCGTTCTCCTGAATTAGGGTTTGGGGGTGGGGGGTATGGGGGTGCAGCTTCTGTGTGCCGTCCCCTGCTCCTCCTCCTCCTCCGTCTCCCAGTGCTGCAGCTGCCGCTGAGGGGGGTGGACTGTTGGAGCCGTCGGAGTGGTACTAAGGGGGGTGAAGGGGGAGTGGAGCTAGGGGTGAAGCAGGGGGTGTGTGTTAGGGGGAGTGGGACTGTTTGGGGAGGTTGAACTGAGGTTGCCGTCGTGTCGCCAGCAGCACCTGTAGTCCGGGGAGTTGCTCCGGTAGCCCAGTCGCAGCCAGCTGTGCCAGTCGCCCGTGGGTCCGTTGCTCGTCTGCCGCTACTTTTAGCCGCGGAGCCAGTTACTCCAGTAGTCCGGAGCGTTGTTCCGGTAGCCGCTGTGCCAGTGTGACTCCTGTTGCCCGTGTGTCTGCAGCTTCAGCCGTCGCCTCCTATCTCCTCTCCTCTCACTCTCGCCTCCTCCTCCTCACTTGCCCTCTGCGAAAGCCTCTAGCTTTGCTCATAATTGTGAACTTTAAACTATTGCTTCTTGTACTTGTGCTCAGAATGTGTGGTGACATTGTGATCCACCCTGAGCTTGTTCTGCTTTGCTTGCTCTGCTGATTACACCCCACTTTGGCTATGGGGGTGTGTCAGAATGTCATTGTTCTCTAGCCTGCAGTGGGGTACTCTATAGCGAGTACAACCCCTTAGGGTTTCCTATATGTATCCTGCTGCTTTCTAGTGAACCCCCTTCTTTTCACAAGGCACTTCCGCCTGGTGATCATCAGCGCTTCTCTACTATGTTAGGCCTTGTGCCTACTTTGCCTTACTTGCTCACTGAGTGACTTTGCTTGTACTGTGATCTATACATATACCTGCATGCTTACACTTGCTAGGGTATGATCACGGTATTATTTGTTCTCTTTTATATAACTATGCATGTGAACTGGCCTTATGGCCCTTTGCTTGTGCTCGGACTGTGTGGTGACTTTGTGATCCACCCTGAGCTTGCTTTACTTTTCATGAATGGTCTTGTGACCACTTGTTCTCCCCCACTTTGCCTATGGAGGTGTGTCAGAATGTTATACGTGCTTACATTTGTGTAGGCTATAGTGGGGTAGCCCATAAGGGGTACAACCCAATTAGGGTTAGTACTTGTACCCGACTGTTTCATAGTTCATTCATTCTCATTCATTCCTTTGACAACCATTTATATCAGGAACGACTTGGGGCAGGATGGGATGAAGAATCTGCACGAGCCGGAGGTTGGGGAACAGACAACGGTGGAGCAACATGGGGATCAGCAACTGGTGCATCTGGCACTGTGAGTGGCTGGGGAACTGGCGGAGGCATCGGTGGAGGAGGCTGGGGCAACATCGGAGCCTGGGGCTTGGCTGAAGGGGAGCTCACCTGCGAAGAACTAGAGGAGGCAGCGAGAGAAATCGTTGCTGAGCAAACACCACCAAGAGTTGTAGTTCCTATCGGCCGACCTCCGCGCAATCTCCCATCACCGCCTCGCTCATCTCAAACTTGGGACTACACCTGGTCAGAAATTGAGGAGGGCAACGTACCTGCAACTCCACAACATGATGCTCACGGACCCCTCTCGCGCCCAGATCCCTTCGCACGCTTCATCGAAGGCACCAGAACTCCGCTCAACATCATCCCCAATCACAACTTCCTCGCGCTCTACCTCACAACAGCACCTGTAGAAGGAGAGACAGCAATAGAACCAGAAGCAGAGGAAGAGGAAGACAAAGCAGAACCAGGAGAGGAAGAAGGACCCGTGCTCCACATCCCTCAAGAGACAGAAGCAGAGGCAGCCAAATATCTGGCTCTTTACCTGCGCACCCCAGGAGTCCGCGCAGAATATGACCTTTGGCACCAGCGACTTGGCCACCCCTCGTGCCAGACATTCAACAATTGCCTCTGTGCCAAAGTTTTCCAACCTGGAGCTCTGTTGCGCCCCGACGGCATGGAACCGCTCAGCACAATACAACCAACCACCTGCACCGTCTGCCCCACTTCTGCCCTCACGCATCAAGCTTAACCTACGCTGGAGCCAAGCACCAACCGCTACAAGAAACTGCAGAAAGTCTAAAGCGACTATATCGTGATAACTTACGAAGGAGTCAACGGTGAGGGTAACACCCTCACCTATTATAATAGTAGCTAGGAGGGTATAGGAGTGTCTTTAGGAGACATTCTAGGGTTGAATGTCGAGGGAGTTGGACTAGGAGAAAAGTCGAGAAAGAATGAAAGGTGTTCAATAATGAGAAACAGTACAAGGATATAGGCAAGAACCAAGAATGGTGCACCCCCAACAGTTTATCATAGCTACACTAAACTACAGCTACATGCAGTTACATGTATATATTCCAACACACCCCCATAATTGCTTGCAGCAGGAGTTTGTGCAGAGTAAAGCAGCAGTAGGCAAGAGCAGTGACAACCGGTGCAGTGGTGGCATATTCAGCTGCAACAACCCCTCAGCCAAGATAGAAGCAAGCAAAAGAATAAGGTGCATGTGGCGGCAGCTGCCGATGCCTGGCTGTCTTCCGCCACCGCCTCACCCTCCCCCCCACAGTGGCACGCGCGGCCGTGAGAGAGAGAGGAGGGGTGGCTGCTGGCTAGGCAGAATCTCTCTCGCCACCCCCTCACACCTCCAAGCTCCCCCCCCCTTCTCCCAACACAACAACAGGTGCAGTAGGGAGAGAGAGGAGGAGGTGATGGGCTCCTGGCTACGCACACCCGCCACCCCCATACCCCCCCCCCACTACTGCACCCGCAGCAGGGGGATGGAGGAGAAGGGGGGGGGGGGGAGGGGGGGGGGGGCGGGGGGGGCGGAGGGGGCTGGTGCTGCAGATCCCCTCCCCCCCACTGCTGCACCCGCAGCAGGGGGATGGAGGAGAAGGGGGGGGGGGCGGGGAGGGCTGGTACTGCAGATCCCTTCCCGCCACCCCAAACCCCCCCCCTCCCCCCCCCCCCACTACTGCACCCGCAGCAGGGGGATGGAGGAGAAGGGGGGGGGCGAGGGGCACTCACGAGGGGGTGCGAGGGGCACTCACGAGGGGGTGCGAGGGGCACTCACAAGGGGGTGCAAGGGGCACTCACGAGGGGGTGCGAGGGGCACTCACGAGGGGGTGCGAGGGGCACTCACGAGGGGGTGCGAGGGGCACTCACGAGGGGGTGCGAGGGGCACTCACGAGGGGGTGCAAGGGGCACTCACGAGGGGGTGCGAGGGGCACTCACGAGGGGGTGCGAGGGGCACTCACGAGGGGGTGGGAGGGGCACTCACGAGGGGGTGCGAGGGGCACTCACATACCCGGTGCGAGGGGCACTCACGAGGGGGTGCGAGGGGCACTCACATACCCGGTGCGAGGGGCACTCACGAAGGGGTGCGAGGGGCACTCACGAGGGGGTGCGAGGGGCACTCACGAGGGGGTGCGGGGCACTCACGAGGGGGTGCGAGGGGCACTCACGAGGGGGTGCAAGGGGCACACATGAGGGGGTGCGAGGGGCACTCACGAGGGGGTGCGAGGGGCACTCACGAGGGGGTGCGAGGGGCACTCACAAGGGGGTACGAGGGGCACTCACATACCCTCCTCCCACTGCTGCACCCGCAGCAGGGGGATGGAGGAGAAGGGGGAGGGGGAGGGGGGGGGGGGCTGGTGCTGCAGATCCCCTCCCCCCACTGCTGCACCCGCAGCAGGGGGATGGAGGAGAAGGGGGGGGGGGGGGGGGGGTGGGGGGGGCTGGTACTGCAGATCCCTTCCCGCTACCCCCATACCCCCCCCCCCCCCCCACTGCTGTACGATCAGCAGGGGGACTGAGGAGAAGGGGGGGGCTGGGGGGGCGGTGCAGGGGCTGCGTGGGCGACCGCAGGTCGCACGAAAAACATCCGCCACCCCTCACACCCTCTCCCCCACTCCCCCCACAACAGCAGGCGCTGCCGTGAGAGGGGAGGAGGCGTGGCAGCAGCTGCTGCTGCTGAGGCACATCCGCCACCCCCTCACACCCTCTCTCCGCAGCAGCGGGCGCAGACGTGAGAGAGGAGGAGGCGTGGCGGCAGCTGGTGCTGCTGAAAAGCATCTGCCACCCCCTCATACCCTCTCCCCCACTCCCCCCACAGCAGCAGGCGCAGCCATGAAAAAAAAAAAAGACGTGGCGGCAGCTGCTGCTGCTGAGGCACATCCGCCACCCCCTCACACCCTCTTCCACAGCAGCAGGTGCAGCCGAGAGGAGGAGGCGTGGCTGCAGCTGCTGCTGCTGAAACACATCTGCCACCCCCTCACACCCTCTCCCCCCACAGCAGCAGGTGCAGCCGTGAGAGAGGAGGAGGCGTGGTGGCAGCTACTGCTGCTGAAACACATCCGCCACCCCCTCACACCCTTTCCCCCCCTCCTCCCCCCAAAGTGCTGCACGCGCAGCAGGGAGATGGAGGAGAACAAGGGGGGGGGGCGGGGGGGGGGGGGGGGGGGGGGTATGAGCTGCACATGCGACTGCAGGGCGCACGGGCATGCAGAAACCGTTGCGCGCAGTAGGAGCACCAGGGGGAGGGGTCCCCCAACAAGTCCCCCCAACACCCTCCCCTCCCCTCCCCCCACCCAAACTGCTGCACGCGAAGTAGGAGAGGGAGAAGGAAGTGGGCGGCGGGGACGACGGGAAGCAGGGCAGCGGGGCCCCCGCGCGACGGGCAGAAAACCGTCGCACGCAGGGGGCGAGCGACGCGCAGAGCACCGTCGCGTGCTGGGGGCGCGCGACGGGCAGAAACCGACGCACGCCCGGGGCGTACGACGAGAAGAAACCGCCACACGCCCGGGGCGTGCGACGGGCAGAAACCGACGCACGCCCGGGGCGTGCGACGGGCAGAAACCGACGCACACCCGGGGCGTGCGAAGGGCAGAACAAAAAAAAAAAAAAAAAAAAAAAAAAAAAAAAACGACAGGCGCCAGCGAGGCGGACCCCATGCGAGGACTAAAATACGGTGGGCCCATTGGGTCGTAACCACTCTAATGTCAAAATAACGAACGAGAATGGATGAACTAGCAAAGAGTTGGGTACAAGTACTAACCCTAATTGGGTTGTACCCCTTATGGACTACCCCACTACAGCCTACACAATGTAAGCTATATATAATTTTGACACACCCCCAGAGGCAAAGTGGGGGAGAACAAGTGGTCACAAGACCAGTCAAGAAAAGCAAAGCAAGCTCAGGGTGGATCACAAAGTCACCACACAGTCCGAGCATAAGCAAAGGGCCACAAGGCCAGTTCACATGCAAAGTTATATAAAAGAGAACAAACAATACCGTGATCATACCCTAGCAAGTGCAAGCATGCATGTATATATATACATCACAGTACAAGCAGAGTCAAGCAGTAAGCAAGTGAGGCAAAGTAGGCACAAGGCCTAACACAGTAGCGAAGCAATGATGATCACCAGGCGGAAGTGCCTTGGTGAATATATCGGCAGTGTTGGCCCTAGTGGCCACGTACGCAAGACCAAGCTGGCCACGCTGCTGCAACTCTCGAGCAAGGAAGTATCGCAGAGCGATGTGCTTTGTTCTGTGCTCCAGTCTGTGCTCCTGTCATAAGGCAATCATGGCCTTGTTGTCTACGTACAGAACTGGAGGCGAACGAGGCTGCTCTCCCAAGTCAGTCAGCAGGTAGGTGAGCCAGCGTAGCTCCTGTGCAGCCATGGCCCCTGCGTAGATCTCAGCCTCACAACTGGAGCTGAGAACCGAAGACGAGCGGGTAGACCGCCAGGAAACAGAGCCGGAACCGAGGCTGAAGGTGTAACCCTGTGACGACCGCTGCGTAACTGAGTCGTCAACCCAGGAAGCGTCTGCATGACCAGTGAGGACAACCGGACCCCGTCCTCCAAGCACGAGCCCCATGCCTAACGTACTGCACAAGTAGCGCAGTACCCTCTTCGCAGCATCCCAGTGCACCTTTCGGTGCCTACCGGGAGCCACGTAGCGAGCCAGGAGGCTAAGAGGGTACGCGAGGTCAGGTCGTGTGCACGTCATAAGGTACATGAGGGTCCCCACAAGCTCTGGGTACGGACCACTCGGCTCTACGGACTCGTTCGAAGGTGGAGCTGAGAGCGAGTGGCCGGTAGAGAGAGGAGTGGGCTGTGGCGAGGAGAACTGGAAGCCGAAGCGCTGAAGGACCTGGTGCACCATGTGTGACTGAGTCAGGGTGATGGTGCGCCGTGCTCTGTCTCGGGTGATCTGCAAGCCAAGATAGCTGCGCAATTCACCCAGGTCAGTGCAGGTGTGTCTCTTCTGCAGCTCCGACTTCACAAGGGTCAGTGCTTCAGTGTCAGCAGTGGCAAAGACGAGTTCGTCGACGTACACGAGGACGTAGAACGACGGCAGCGAGGTGTCGGTGCGTAGAAACAGCGACGGGTCAGCAGTAGAAGGAGCAAACCCAAGAGCCGCAAGTGTAGTCCTCAGTGTGTGTTGTGCCACTCGCGAGGCGCCTGGCGGAGACCGTAGACTGGCCGCCGGAGGCTCCACTGGGTACCTGCAGGAAACGACCCAGTGAAGCCAGGTGGGCGGCGCAGCCAGATCTCCTCGTGCAGGCTGCCCTGCAGGAAAGCTGTGCTGAAGTCCAGAGAGTGCAACTCGTAGTAACGCTGAGCAGCGGCGTGCAGCAACACCTGAAGAGTAGTCATCTTCGGGGTGGGGGAAAAGGTCTGGAAGTAGTCAACCCCCTGTCGCCGACTGAAGCCTCGAGCAACGTAACGCGCCTTGAAGGCAGGTGGAGAACCCGGCGGCCGCTTCACCCTGAAAATCCACATGCCATCGACTATGTTTGCCCCAGGTGGGGGAACCTCGTCGATGTAGGTGCCTGTGGACTTCCAGGATGCCATCTCGGCATCCATGGCTGCCTGCCACTGAGAGGAGTAAGGACCCGTAATCACCTTTGCGTAAGAGCGCGGGGTCGGGATGTCTGGAGCATCCGGGTCTCCCTCAGGGGCAAGCAGCATGGAAGCGAAACGAGGTACAGCAGCTGCAACACACTCGAAGTCCTCATGCCTGTCCTCAATGACGTCCATGCCAAGAGAATACTCACCCCCGACGGACGGAGGACTGGCAGACGCACACTCAACAACAAGAGCAGAGGCGTAGTCTAGACGGCAGGCAGCAGCAAAGTCAAGCAGCTCAGCAACGAGAGCAGACGCAGCAGCAGACTCAAAAGAAGGGTCAGAGAACGCAGTGGCGAGGAAATGAGAGACAGTGGGACTGGCAGCACGAGCGCGGTCAGACTCAAGGTCAGGGACCTCAGGAAGAGAGGGCTCAAAAGGAGCAGGCAGAGGAACACGAAGTGGAAAACAGGAAGGACGAAGTGTCATAGCGTGCGTGCCGGGGACAGGAGGAGGACACGAACGAGGAACGCGACTAGCAGTGCGAACAGGCGAGACAGGACGAGACATAGGCTCACGACGCTCTGTAAGACCGCCAGACCGCTCAGTGTAAGGAGAAGGAGCAGGCAGTGGATAGGCCGGCTGTAACGTCGGCTATGACAGGTCAGACGGTGGACACAGGAGGGGAGGAGTGAGGCCAGCACAAGACGGGGTACCAAAAACCTGCTAAAGCAAGGGAACGAAGTACGGTCGCGGTCGCACAGCGCCACCAGGGTAAACAGCGCCAGCTCCTCCAGCTCCAGCACCCCCAACACCACCAGTCCCGGCAGCTCCAGTACCCCGGGTACGAGCACCTCCAGGACCACTAGCCGCAGTACCTCCAGTAACACCAGCTCCATCAGCAACTCCAGCACCTCCAGCTCAAGCAGCTCCAGCACCTCTAGCTCTGGTAGCTCCACTCCGAAGGCGTGCGCGCCGAACAAACCACTCACGCAGCTGCTGCAAAGACACTCTCGGCGAAGCACCAGCAGAACCTCCAGACGAAGCAGCACCCTGAGGCTCAGCACCTCTAGACTCCGCACCCTCCAACTCAGCACCCCCAAGCTCAACACCCGCAGGCTCAGCACCCCCAGGCTCAGCACCCCCACGCTCAGCACCCCCAGTCTCAACACCCCCAGGCTCAGCACCCCCAGTCTCAGCACCCCAAGGCTCAGCACCCCCAGGCCCAGCACCCCCAAGCTCAGCACCCCCAGACGCAGTACCTCTAGCAGCACCTGAGTCCACAGCTACCTCACCAGGCATAGCACCAGGGGGTGGGTCTACCTGAGAGACACCTGAGGGAGCAAGACCTTGAGGAGGAAGGGGGCCTACCGGAGGGGGACCTGGAACAAGGAAGAGCGGCGGGGGAGGGAGAGGGGCAGAGCGGTAGGGGAAGAGACGGTAAAAAGGAACCGACTCGTCAAACGTGACATCCTGAGAGGGGAGGACACGGCGCGAGGTAGGGTGGTAAAACTGCCAACCAGGCGTGTCAAGGACAAAGCCAAGGAAGACGCATAGAATAGCGCGGGCGGAGAGCTTGTCCGCTGACGGATTGCGGACAAAGGAACGAGAACCCTAGAGCTGGAACACAGACG